TCGAGCGCAGCCGGCGTACTAATGGGATGGAAATTATTTTTTTCCGGCTAAACTATCAGTTTTAGAAAAAAACTTTTAATAACATTTATTCTTCAAAATAAAGTAACCTATCGACCAGTAATTTTTAAAAATAAAAATTGTGAAAAATAAGTATTGCTATGTCCAAAAACCACATTTTCATAGGATTCGATGCAATGCGGAGACGCGGTTGGGGTGAGTGTAACTTAATGATTGTACACTTTATTTGAATAAATCGCCAAATATACCACCGCGGAGACCCCAATCGCGTCTCTTCGTGCCATTGAATCGTATGAGCGTATGGATTTTTTGCATTATTTTTCACAATTTCCATTTTTAAAAATTACCTATCGATAGCTTACTTTATTCTGATGAATAAATGTCATTACAAGTTTTTCTCTAAAACTGATAATTTGGCTAGAAAAAAATATTTTCTATCCACGCAGTACGCCGGCAGCGTTCGGATCGGATATAATGACGTCATCGTCCCCGCGCCGGGCGGTCAGTGAACTTTTTTAGTAATTTGGCCATAACTTCGTCAATTTTTGTCGTAGAACAAAAATTTGTGCACTGTGTATTAAGGATTTCTTAGCCCTATAAATCTGCATTCACAGCTAAAAATCGAAATGATCCTCATTGAGTTCGACTACGCAACTCAATTTGCGATATGAATTTGATTTGGGTACCTATGTATGTTGAATGGGGGTGATTTATTTTTCGGTTACTGAATGAATTTCATACAAGATGCGTAGAAAGTTAATATGCTAACGATAAGGAGTGGAATTATCTTCTAGCGTTTTTATAACCTCTAGGTGACTTTAACTCACTAGTAAATAGGTATTATGTTTTTTTTTTCATCTCAGACCTTGAAAATTGAGGTAGAATATTATTGAATATTATTTTATGATAAACTTTTTTTGACCAATATTTAACTTGTAGATTACAAGGAAATATTTGGTCTTAGCCAATAGAAAATAACATCATACATTTCTTATTTGGTTCCAAGAGGCTTTCAGGGATAAAAAAATGTTATTATTATTATTATGTTGGATTCAATTGTGCGTATTTGAATCACACTGGTTTCGCCAATGTCGAGTGTTTAAAGAGACACAGTGGACAGTGGAATTTGATGTTCGGCCGGTTCACAAAACCTACGAAAGTTCATTCACAAAACCTACGAAATCCACAGGTCTTGGCTGACTATAGTCCGTATATTAGCATAAATTATACAACCTTCAGAAAACTAACTCTCGTATTTTTTCATACATCTGCCTATTCACATTCAAACACGTACGTATCCAACCGTCTTTGTCATTTCAATGCAGTTGTCCTCACATTTCTTTTTCCATCCGTTACCATGAGGAAAATACCTTCCCACCCCAATAAATGCTCCCGGCGGAAATGAAAAAGTAAAGAGCTAGGTTTTTTATTTCTGCAATTTTAGCCGGGGCATTTTATGAAATAATTTTGAGCTCAAGACTCTCGGCCTAAAGTGAAATTAAATTGTGAGCAGTCTTGTTGCGACTTGATGAAAATAATGAGACATTATTTGTATAGCTACAGCATGTCAGGCTGAGTACTGTGGCTTCTTAGGTAGTTTTAATAAACGTATTTGCAATTTTACAAGTGGTAGTTAAATGTTTATCCTTTAGAATTGCTTGTTCATAAAATCAAATTACAGATTATGAAAATCTAAGCACTTCTTGTCCACCTTCAAGTATACAATTATGCCACAAAATAAATACTAAAATCAAAATCAAAAATATTTAATTCAATTTAGACAACTGGTGGCACTTATGAACATCAACTATCTATATATATAAAAATGAAACCCGTTTCGCGTTGTCACGGCATCACGTGTGAACGGCTGAACCGATTTCGATAATTCTTTTTTTTAAATGTTTGTGGAAGTCCAAGGATGGTTCTTACGGAAAAATAGTAAATAAAAAAGGTAGCCCTTATGGGGCACTTTACATGTCTTCTTATCTTTTAGGCCCTACCAGCGCTTCGAGACAAACATAATATATTTGTCTCGAATGGCAAGTGCTGAGAAGAAACGCCGGAACAAACTCAGTCAGCACACTCGTATTACAAACCGAAACTGAAAACTTGATTTAAAATCTAAGCCTATAGTGAAGCCTGTTGATAATTAGATATTTTCATATGTACATACGTTCAACGCGTCGTTCATAATACAGCAATATTTTCGTCTTTCTCCGCTGAAACAAAGTTTCCTCGCAACGATCGAAAATCTTTCTGCCTCTGTTTCATAAATGTACGGGCAGCCGTTCCGGCGAAGGGCCGGCTCGTTAGTCTATATTGCGATACACGCTACGACGCACAGTGGTTCGCATCCATACAAGTGGTTGGACTTATCCGCCAATCCAAATACTACTACTACATTTAAAAAATAAAAAAAGATACGAATAGTTTTCTACTTGTAATTTATATGACATGAGAAATGCTATACCCGTAGTAATTTTCAATTAAAGTCAGAATGTTCAAGTTACTAAAATAGGAACTTTGCATGGAAAACAACACGATAACATTTATTTGTTGTCACTTATCATTAATATTGACAATAAATGCCATTAAAGCACTCTTTCAGAGATGTGACGAAAATACACCACACCTTTCTCAGACACAGAAAAGCTAGTTTCATTTCCAGCGAGGGCAAAATTTTCACGCCCTACATTTTTTTTTATCCACAACACAGAAGCTCTTGGCCTGCATCTCACCTGATGGAAAGTGATGATCGGGATCTTATTTTATTCAATTTTATTTTATTCAGGACACAGTACTTCAGCTTTGCACGAATAGAAATTGTAATTCTGGAACACGGTGGCACGAACCACTGTGCGGCCGGTCGCAGATTTGGGAACAGTTGGCGCAACCATCCCCGTAGGATGGTCTGTTAATGGGATCATGATGGCGGCGATAAAATGAATAGTAGCTGTAAAAACTAACAGGAAAATGTTTAGATAAAATACTGATGTATGAGACCCTTTTTATACCCTTTTTATATTGTAAGCAAAAATAAGGTAAGGTTTCACTTATGTGGAAATTAGGTAAAATAATTTGGTGCTGATTACCTTAACTTTTATTTAGTACAGTTCGACTGCTTACACAATTGCGAACTGAATAATAACTAATAGAATAGCAAAACTGGTAACTAACTTTGGTTGATGAAACAAGTCCTATTACGCTTCAAATACAAAATTTTTGATAAAAAAATCCTCGAAGTCGCGAAACGTCGGAAGTTTTCTGAGTCTTTTCAATGAAAATTGTCTTTAAAGTTAGGTCCTAATTAATTGGAATCCAGAGCTGTGAGTGTAAAATATAAAAAGTGTTATGTAGTCTGTGGTTTTAGTGTCTGGTGTTCTGTGATGCGTAGTGTATTATTGAGCGTGATAAAACAAAAATGCTGTTGTGATTAAGTAAATATTACACACATATTTTAAACATAATATTATTTATTATTTACACACATATTTTAAACATTTATATTTTACTTTAAACATAGGATTTTCCCTATTGTATACAAATTAGCTGATAATTATTAACAATTAAACGAATTAACTAGTCCCAAACCAATGAGGATCATTTCGATTTTTAGCTGTGAATGCAGATTTATAGGGCTAAGAAATCCTTAATACACAGTGCAAAAATTTTTGTTCTACGACAAAAATTGACGAAGTTATGGCCAAATTACTAAAAAAGTTCACTGACCGCCCGGCGCGGGGACGATGACGTCATTATATCCGATCCTAACGCTGCCGGCGTACTGCGTGGATAGAAAATAATTTTTTCTAGCCAAATTATCAGTTTTAGAGAAAAACTTGTAATGACATTTATTCATCAGAATAAAGTAAGCTATCGATAGGTAATTTTTAAAAATGGAAATTGTGAAAAATAACGCAAAAAATCCATACGCTCATACGATTCAATGGCACGCAGAGACGCGATTGGGGTCTCCGCGGTGGTATATTTGGCGATTTATTCAAATAAAGTGTACATAAGTGTTGTTAGAGTCATATCTTCTTCCAAGTAAAATATAAAAATGTATAAGTATTAATTTATTTACTTCTAACAATGTATTATTATGTTCAATACAAACAATCATTAAGTTACACTCACCCCAACCGCGTCTCCGCATTGCATCGAATCCTATGAAAATGTGGTTTTTGGACATAGCAATACTTATTTTTCACAATTTTTATTTTTAAAAATTACTGGTCGATAGGTTACTTTATTTTGAAGAATAAATGTTATTAAAAGTTTTTTTCTAAAACTGATAGTTTAGCCGGAAAAAAATAATTTCCATCCCATTAGTACGCCGGCTGCGCTCGATTCGGATATAATGACGTCACGCGGCCTTGCGTACGTTGACTTTTAGCGGCAAAAACGGCCTATGTTTATTACTTAATATCTTCGTAAGTAATGGTCCGATTTGGATAATTCAAAAAGATATATCTTTCTTATGTCTTAAAGATTAACGTAGATACTAGTTTTATTGAATTTTCTACAACAGTACTGATCCTCATTAGCGCTCGCAAATTAAATTAAGTAGGACTCGAAATAATACTAATGTTTTAACCAATGTTTAAATACGCTTCAGTCACCGTAATTAGCTCAATACAATAATTGAAGCAATTTACTGAAACTTTTTAATATAAAACCTTAATGCATTGATTTAGGTAGATTTTTGTTTTCATAAACATGAACCAAAGGATTTGGAATTTTAACTGCATAAAAATAAAGACGATACCAAACTTTCCCCTTTGCACAGATAAAAAACGTGACGTGTAATTTATTTGTGGCCAAGTCACTGGCCAGTAATTATTCTTTTTTGCGTTGGACCGGTTTTTGTTTTTGTAAACACTTTTTCTTGGCAAGAGAACCCGAACTAAAGTCCTAAGTTAAATGTGGATATTTTGACAAAAGAAACTTCTTTTGTTTCAGAAGCCGATTACACACTGGACGATTCGTTTTGGAATGAAGAAAGCCCAGTCGGTAAGTCTGAAGTAATAAACTAACCCCTGTTTATCATGACATCTGTCTTTCATTAACAAATATTCAATAGTAAAATGTAAAGTTTCACTCAGCTTAATCTGCCTAAATCAATGCCATAATTTTATTAGTTAGGATATTTTATTTTTGCTAAGCTTCAATTTGAAATCACAATAAGTTGAAATAGAAAAATGGCCGTTCATTTCAAACGCCATTCCAACTTTCCACCAACCGCCATTGCTGTAAAACCAGAAACCTATTCGAACCGTTCCAAATTCAAATAAATAGATGTAGCAAACGCGCATTTGCACCAGAGACTCGGGATTGCATCGGGACACTCAAGTGGGGCGCTTAGTTTTAAACATGTCATTTCGATTGGAATCTGCGCGGCTTCTGTTGATCGTCCCCAATAAGTGGATGTTTTTTATAGTACAAGCTTTGCTTAGTTTGGGGCTAGCGGCGCAGTGTAAAATGTTCAAGGATATTTATTATTTATTTATTTATTATTTTATCGAATAAAGTTTACCGGTGTATCGATACTATTTTGAAAAATAAGAAAACAAAAAAATTGAAAAATGAGTTTCGAAGAATAAAATAAATTAAACTTTTGGACTAGAAACCTGATCTTTCTATTAACTTCCCATGAATAAGTTGACCATCATAATTCATTACAACCGCTATCGTCACATAATAATATTGCATAAAGCATTAGGTACACTTTGCATGTCAAGCAAGTATCTTTTGTTAGTAATGAAACTAGCAACTCTACATCTGATTAATACAGTGCTTGTTTTATGAACAACTTCGATAATCTTATTAATTTTTGCAGGAAATATGTCATTTGAACCCTTTTTTGCTTAACGACATTCGACTGTACCTCAATTCCTCTCCGAAACTTTTTTCAAAATCACCAACACCTGAAAATTGCTAACACCGATCCTGAAACCTATTTTTCGGTACAAAACCCGAAAAATCTGCATGAAATATGAGCTCATATTCAAAGGACAATGCGAGCAGAACCGGGTGGCGACTGTTACACGGCGACTTCCCGCCCGTTAGGTTCCCGGATATCCCGTTCCCCCTTCCCCCCATTTTTACCCTGCCGGTGATAAAGAAGGATGTATAGTGCCCTTGCCAGGATTCTGGGAGTTGTCTATGGATTGATGTCGAACTTTATATTGGGTAGCTTTTTTAGTAATCATTATAATGATTAAAGTTACCGTTATTTAAAGTTGCCAAAAACAATTACTGAAGTTTTACAAAAGAAAACAAAAGCACGTAGAGGTGACGATGACGAGATTCAAATGTTTATTTCAGATATGAAATTCATATTAATTAGATAATTTACATTTAACAGTCTGTATTAAATTTTAAGTAATTTTTAATTGAATTTCATCTACAATACTTTTTGTAGCGAGATTTTATCAGTTATCAAAACGTTACGTATTAGTTACCTACATTCAACGTACACTCACATTTGAAGCATCCATAAGTTAAATAAACAAAAAACACTATTTTGGGTCCTCCATTTCGCACTCTTATCATTATACAGACGACAGTACGTCAGAAAATAATATACATTTTTGTTGGAATCTGAACTCTATTGCAACTACATAAAACCGCAAAGTTTACGTCGATTTGCCGTCTATACTTATATCGTGACCCGCTAAAGGTATAGGCCTAAGGGCGCACGCACGTGACTCGGCACGCGTGTTCGTGTGACATCACGCACAACGCAATATCATGCCCCAACTTTGTGAATTTTTCAAAACAATTTTTATTGGCACGAGCTTATGAAGCTCAAATTGAAGCAGAAAATGTAGGGAATAGAAGCATTTTCAATTTTTATGTGACGTGCGTTATTATAGTATTTATGTTAATGATGATAATTATTTATTTAAGAGTCGCATGCACTACGCACTACACGTTATTGTTGCATAGTCATAAAACTTATATTGACTACCAAAAACTCTACAAATCGATTCAATTTCATACCATGAATGAGAAAATAAACATAATTTGAATTTCTTCATCACCATCGCTTCAGTCAATTGCAGTTTACAGGTGAACAAAGCATCAAAAGAAAATCATCAAAATAATAAAATCTCTCGGATGTTTTTACCAACCATAGGGCCAATTTTTAGAGTCATCGCTTCTAAGAGGCTTTTCACCGAGGCGTGTGGTCTCCACTCCAAATGACTAACAACATTTATTCGCTTTTGCCATATTCAGAATTCAGAATCCACATTACAAATCTACGCCACATTCCTGCCTCACATTCAAAGCTGATATATCAAGTTCCCGAATACCTTGGAGTTATACAAAGGATTTCGCATTGCTCAAAATAATTCCTAAATCTCAATTCATTTGAAACTGGATTCCGTCGCCACATCAAAGCTATCTCGCAGTTTTGATTTGAAACTAGTTAGAACCGGTTTGAGCTTGTTTGAAGCGGTAACGATTCCGGTTTTAGTTGAGTTTTCTCCTTTCTCGGTATAGTTTTTATTGTGTTTAGAAGTTGCTGAGAACTTTACAGCGTTAAAAATGCTGGAATGCTTTTGAGAAATACGAATTGGCATAACTACACATACAAATAATTTTGTACGAACAGTAACTTTCGTACTTACTCTATTTTTCCATCTACAGTTGTGTGAACTCAGCCGAATCGACCATTTTCTTCACACAATCACAAAATATTCATTTCGCGCCAACGAAACAATATAACAATGGCGTTCAGTAATTCTATGCGTCAAAGAGTCGCGTTTTCCAGATTGTATTCAGGCGCAATCTCCACGATTTCTTGACAAAAACATGGGCACAATCAATGTTTAAGGCAGTACCTAGGTTTTTTTTTCACCGCGGTCACAGAATGTTTTATTTAATAAAAAATCATTCGTTTTATCGCACATCAATCAATATATTTTATATTAGATATTGTACAGTGCATAAAGTGCCGTTATTTGCACTCGGACGCTGCCTGGCCACTAAGAAAAACTATATTCTTTTTTCATCGCCAATATCGATGTTCTTTTGTTTCTCTTCTTGCCATGACCCTCACGCTACCTAATATTCACGTCTTACTATATTGTCATATCGAGTATTATTAACTTCGATATCCCGAAGCACATAAAGTATACGTCACATTAAGACTCATCGAGTCACTACATCCTCCATCATTACTGTGTATATTTGTATTATGTAAAGAATGAAGTCGTTTGCATGCAATGTAGCATTTCAATACGTCGCCAATAAAGGGCGGGTGTCAGAGCGAACTGAACGAGACGTGGGAAAGGTTGCTGAGCAAATGACGACGCTTTAAAATGTTTCTGTCATTTCAAATTGTTGATACGTTAACAGTTAACGCTAGTGCTAGCATGTTATTGAACAGTTCTAATCTCAACTCATAGTGAACACTAGTAGCCAAACAGTTGAGGTGAGGCGCATCATAGTGTTTACATCTAGTAGGCCCAAAGAGCTTTTACATTTCTAAGGCTGACTTGCACCATCTAAAACGTAACCATAACGATGACCGGTGTTTTCAACCGACTTCAAAAAAAAGGAGGAGGTTCTCAATTCGACCCGTATGTTTTTTTTTCTATGTTTGTTACGCGATAACTCCGCCAATTATGAACCGATTTGAACAAATCTTTTTTCGGCGTATAGGTAATACCTCAAGGGTGGTCCCATTTAAATTTAATAATAGAAAAAACAACCACCAAGCGTGGAAAATTGAGGATGAACTTTTTTATACGCAATATCTCCGCCGATTATAAATCAATTTGAACGATTATTTTTTTGTTGAATAGGTATTATCAAAAGGGTGGTTTCATGCGAATTTGAAGAAAATATTTCACCCCCAAGGGTGGAAAATTGGGGATGAACTTTTTTATACGCAATTTTTAGTTTTTTTTTGTGTTCACGCATTTGAAGTCGGTTTTATTTTTTTTAAAAGTTAATTATATGTATGGAGTTTGACAGATTTTTTACTTTTGTTAATGTTTAAGTAAGATCATGCAACTCAGCCTTAGAAATGTAAAAGCTACGCTAAGCTAAGCTGTAAGACTACTTTAATTTTATGGTCCAGTTCCATTAAAAAAGTTAAGGTGTATGTTACTTAAGATTCAGATTCATGATTGCTAATAAGGACATTAAATGTTTAATAACTACACAAATAAACTCAAATATTAAACATACGTCGATTAAACAATTTGATGCGAAACCAATAGCAATCAAATATTAATTTGATTTCGCAGTCTAATTAAATTTCAATTTCATCAACCAAATACAAATAAGTCTGATCGTATTTCTCGGAAGAAGCACATGTACCTATCTCATTATTTTACAAATTGCCTCGAATCAAATCCAGATTTGAACAAGAATTTATTAGAGACACGTATAGGGTTCGTATACGTATTCATGAAAATATATATCAGTGCTTTTTATATAGAATTTGACAGATTTTGACGTTTTTTAAAGTTAAATTAAGATGGTGCAACCGAGCCTTGGACGATAAAACACAATATAGTCAACTGGACTGACGGTTTAACACATAAAACAGTGCAGGGGGTGTAGTGTGAGTTTACATCAAACGCATTTGATATCGATAGATTTTAGTTCTTGAAAGTTTCCGCTAGGGACGCTGTACAATTCGTCATACATTGAGGCTGGCTTGCACCATCTTACTTAAACTTTGACAAACGTCAAAAATCTGTCAAACTTCATACAAAAAACACCGATTATCGTCAAAGTTACGGTCAAAGTTAGGTGGTGCAACTCAGCCTAAATGTCACTTTTGATGTAAACTCAAACTACGCCCCCAGTTTTTCTGTAAACATGGTTAAAACTTAGCGCAGTAGTTATAGGAGCCAGGTGTGGCATCGGCGTGACTTCAGACCAAGTTACACCACAAGTTCTTTAGTTTGTTGTGGGGCCTTGTAAAGTGGAAAAATTGAGGAAATTTCAAAGCTTCTTGAGGGAGTTGAAGATTTTTATAACCTCCTGAG